AAAAAAACAAAAACAAAAAAAAAGTAAAAAAATATTAGGCCCTAATTCTACAAATCGTCAAAGTATAGTAAATTTACGAAGTGTTTTGACACAACCACAAATAAAATACCACCGTAACATGAGTTTGTAGATTTACAGAGTTTTCAGAAATAACATACATTCTGTAAACTTCGTAATTTACCGGTAATATTCTGTTAAAATAAAACACAAGCAAAATTAATATCACAAAAACAATCGTAAATTTAGATTTATCAAAATATACAAGATATGTAAATTAACAAACATTATGCAAATAAGGTGTTAATTTAACAAAACCACTGTTGTATTACAGAAATTATTAAAAATACCAAAAAAATGTAAAATTAATGACTCAGAAACATAATATTTTGTAAATTTACAGATTTATAAATACCGTACATGTAATTTAACATACATTATGTAGATTGTTGCTTAATTAACAAAAACGAATGTTATAATACATACAACCTGTTAAAATACGCACAAATATGTAAAATTAAAATTTTTTATGTTTTTTTAAGAGCAAAAACCTGTAAAAACAAATTACAGACGAATTTTCTCTGTAAAATTACAGATTTTTTTTACAGTGTATATATGTAAAAATGCTGTCCCTATTAACTAGGTGCTGGAGAGCACGAAATAAACATTTTTTTTAAACGTTTTACACAAGGTTTTCTATTAATCAGTTAATCATTACATGATAACATCTTAAAAATAGTAACGTTGATGATGAATTTAAACAAAAAATAAGATGAAATTTTTCATCAAAAAAGTGCAAATTTTTTACAGTGAAAAAGATTATTTTATTTAAGTAATAGTTTATTAGTTTTAGGCCTATATTTTAATCAATATCATATTATTCTGAAGTATAGTTTCCCATTACTCTACCCATCATATACCACAATGGTATCACCAAAACTAAGACATTTGCCTGAGAGATTTTAAAGAAAACTCCCTATTAAGGGGATACCTAAATAGTGATAGCCATATGCAGGTGACACCCCTATTAAGGGGACACTTTTTGGTCAAGATGGTGCCCCTTAATAAGGGGACACTTTTTTGGTCAAGATGGTGCCCCTTAATAAGGGGACACTTTTTTGGTCAAGATGGTGCCCCTTAATAAGGGTTCGGCTACCTAGGGGCTATGTGCTCTGTCTCTGTCTGTCATATTATCCCTGTGCTATCCATTTTAAATGATGTGCTATCCATTTGAAAGTCTGTGCTACCCATTTGAAAGACTGAGGCTTTCCATTTACAAGACTGCGCTACCCATTTGAAAAACTGCGATACCAATTTGAAAAACGGCGAGACATATTTTGTAAAACTGTGCTACCCATTTGAAAGTATGTGCTACCCATTTGTAAGACTGTGCTACCCATTTACAAGAAAGTGCGATACCTATTTTGGAAAACTGTATTACCCATTCCAAAGTCTGTGCTAACCATTTTAAAGACTGTGCTATCAATTTACAAGACTGAGCTACACATTTGAAAAACTGCGATACCAACTGTGCTACCCATTTGAAAGTCTGTGCTACCCATTTGTAAGACTGTGCTATCCATTTACAAGACTGCGCTACCCATTTGAAAGTCCGTGCTACCCATTTATAAGACTGTGCTACCCATTTACAAAAAACTGCGATAGGCCTACCTATTTTGAAAAACTGTGCTACCCATTTGAAAAACTGCGATACCAACTGTGCTACCCATACGAAAGTCTGTGCTACCCATTTGTAAGACTGTGCTATCCATTTACAAGACTGCGGTACCCATTTGCAAGACTGTGCTACCCATTTACAAAAAAACTGCGATACCTATTTTGAAAAACTGTGCTACCCATTTGAAAAACTGCGATACCAACTGTGCTACCCATTTGAAAGTCTGTGCTACCCATTTGTAAGCCTGTGCTATCCATTTACAAAACTGCGCTACACATTCAGGGCCGCCGAGAACGACCATAGGGTCCGGGGCAGATTTACTGCCCGGCCCCAACAAGGGAGAGACAACTGTCACTGCCACAAATCACTGAAGATGACAAGATGTTTTCCTTCGACGTTCTACGATATTGGATGGTCTATTTAGTTATATTAAAGCAAAAATATCCCTGGTTAGTTTAATCGTGAAAGAAATAAGACTTTTTTTAAATATTAAAAAAAATAGACTAGCAGACTGGCCCCTGTTGGGCCCGGGCCCTAGGCCACTGTACCGGTACCCATTTGAAAAACTGCGCTACCCAATTGAAAAACTACGATACCTATTTTGAAAAACTGTGCTACCCATTTGAACAGTGGTGTAGAAAAGTATTTTTCATTGGGGGGGGGGGGATGATTGGTGTGTTAGCCAGTGTCGTAACAGGCGCAGGGGGACTGCCCCTCCCCTGACGGTTTTTACCGGACTGACCAAGCCGTCGTACTGGGCAGGGTAATAAGAGAAAAGAAAGAGGGGAGAGGGAGGAAACTGAGATCATTTTAGATACTATTTCTGTGTAAACTAAATTATTTTTTTCATATTACTGTAAACCTAATGGGTTTTGATACATTTACTCTGCACTAAGGTAAAAAAGAAAATTAATTAAAAAGACCATATATTAAATATAAGTAAGGCATAACATATTTTTAATCTATGTTAAAGCATAACTATTTTCACATAATGAAATTTAGTAAATCAAATTATTATTTGTGGCTTTTATTTATTAAATCAATTAAGAACATAATCTCAAAACGAAATTTAATGACAAGAAAGATCGACGTTTCGGGTCCATCATGGAACCATTCTCAAGATCAAGTAAATTGAAAAAACTAAAAACTAAAATACCAAGCAGTGACAGGAAGTAAGTAATTAATTTACATATCAATAGGGCCTCTGTGTGGAGCCACAATGGAGCTAAGCATGGAGGTATTATAAGCCACGTGAATACCTTCATGAGCTAAGCAATAATTAGCCCTTCTTTAGCAGATTAACTAGATACTGAGTTTGGCTTTGACTGAATCAGTTTGTTTGTTAAGTGTAGGTTTCAGTTCTTTGATCCAAAGCATTTCTATAATTAAGCAAACTTGGATTTGCACTTAGATAAAACCTTGAAATAATTAACAGTTTCAGTAAAAACTAATTTATTTTAGATCTCAAATATGCATATTCTTTATGTTGATTTATTAATTAAATCAACATTTATTTATTTGTTTCTTTTTTTTTCTTGAATTTTATAATTGAGGGCCATTTTTTATTTCTTGATTCAATTCTTGCTTATACAGTACTTAAATATTTGAAGATAAAAAAAATATATATATCATTTCTATTACCGAATTTTTCATTGGGGCCATTTTTACCTACCTGTCATATGGGGCCATTTTTTCCAGGGCCAATACGACATAGGGCTTATCTTATTTATAATATAGGCCACACACGTGTGTTTGAAACTAAATATAAGCATTTTCATAATGGTTTTATTTATTATAAACATATTCCTTCACCATCAATACACATTAAGGCCCTTCTTTTCGTAAAACGATCTATCTTAAAATGTTCTTTCTATTGGAGTTGGGACATAATGTGTTTAAATAATTTAGAAGGCATAGGAGGGCAAACACAAGCATTAACCTTAACAAATTCGCGCAAAAAAATTTTGTGTTTTTAATTCTAATTTCGTCGAAATTGATCAAAACTCCTTAATGTGCAATTTTAGGAGCAAATTGGCCTACCCCAACAAAAAACCAAATTTGAGAGTTTCAGGCACTTTCCGGGGTGATAAGGGCATCTTCAATGGGGAAAGATTTTCCATAGATGGATATTTTCTCTTCTCTTTTTCTTTTCCTTTTTCTTCCCCTTCTTCCTCTTGATCCCCTCTTTCTTTTCTCTTCTTACCCAGCCCGGTACTACGGCTTGGTCAGCTCGGTAAAATCCGTCAGGTGGGGGAGGGGCACTCTGTCCCCCCTGCCTGTTACTTTAGTATTTCTTAATCTCCTAATTTTATTCCGATGAAGTAATGAAATACGTACTTGGCAACTGTTTTATGATGATTGTGAAATACTTACAATAAGATAATTGCGAAATAATTGAAGGTCTTCGTTTTTCAGGTCTTCGGTCTTCGTTTTGTAGACACTTGAATATTTTACAAACAGATGTCCAAAAAAATTTGTAATTTTGATTTTGTGACAGCCAGGTTCATTATCATCAAAATAAAATAGAAAAAATAGGGGTCTTCGTTTTTGGGTCTTGTGTCTTCGGTCTTCGTTTTATAGACACCTACACCCTATAGGCTGTCTCTTTTTTGACTTCAATACTACCTAATTATATTGTATTATTTAATCCTTAGCTGTGCATTTTGCTTGTGTCCTTGAACAAGGCACTCTATCTACATTGTTGCAGTCTACCCAGCTGTATCAGTGGGTACCAGCAAATTGCTGAAAGTAACCGGCAGTGGACATATCGACCCACTTCACGCTACAGAAACTGGGATAAGCTCCATCCATGAGCCCTGTGCCTCAGTGAGAGAATTTACTTTAAATATTTGGGAATAACCTGAAACTTGCAGCTTTACTACTAAGGCTGAATTGCTCAAGATGTGGACCAACTCTTCTCTCCAAAAGGTTACATCATGTCAAATCTGTGGATTATGTTAACATTTATATAGATCGTTGTAACCCGTGTTTTCATATTTTGACATTTCAATTTCAGACGATTAAAAGAAAGAATTACACAGCTAGATTTGGAGAATACAGTTGAAACGATGAGTGACGACCTTGAAGAAACGGCAAGCGTCACAGAAATATTAGAGAGAGAATAACCATGGAGGTATAGAATAACCAAGTATAAAGGTATCCTGAAACTGGCCAATCAGAAGGCAGAAAAACCTGTAGATGTTGATGGTAGGTTTCTTAAAGCCCTGTCAAGACTGTCAATTTTTTTTGTTTTGCAAAAACATGTGACATGCCTAAATATGGTCATGATGACATCACATCATGACCATATATAGGCACATCATGACTATATATGGGCATACAACAGTTTTTTTTCGAAGAAAATTTGACTGGGTGAACAGAACTTTCAAATATGTTTTAATGTAAAAGCAGGTCTCCTTTAAATTACAGATTCCTCCAATTAAAGACCACTCTAATTAAATCCAACTGAAGACTACTCCCGTTAAAGACCACTTTCATAGACTAGAAAAAAAAATTTAAAAAGAGGCCTAGAAATCAAGTTAGGGGGAGTGGAATGTTAGAAGCAGTCAACATAGGCAGATATCCTAATTAATCCGTCCTGGTCACCCTAAGCCCTGTTGACACTTGATTGTTCACCTGGTATACAAATGGCGGCCATTTTTCAAAATGGCCGCCAAATTTATCTAAAATGTGCATATAATTGGAACTAAATAAGCTACAGATATGATGTTGGTGTCTAAAATCATAATTTCTATACAGGCAACAAACCAGACATATAGAAACTACTGTCACTCATGCCAGAATGGAACATAATTCAAAAATAGGTGTTTATTTGTTTTAAAATAACCGCAAAATATACGGTACTTAAAATGTATATAACATAAGAATAAGTATATAAACTCACCAAAAAGTCTTCCGATGCTGAATAATGTATTGCAGTTTATATATCAGAAACGGTTTAGTGTTTCATGTATTGTCCCATAAAGTCCAATTATGGCTTATTATATTAAAATAAACAGGACCCATTTGCGTAACTCCTGTCTCTTATACACATCTTACTACTACCTAACACATTACTACCAAGCCTTAAGTAAAGCATGTGCTTTCTGGGCGAAGTCCGAGTCCAAATGGGCCCTAGAGAGGCCACTACTCATACTTACAGTAACACTGATACTCAGCACTCTCCTTCAACGCCTTAACAATACGTAACATTTTCTATAATTTCCGAAAAAACCAAATAGGCTAAAATACCACAAACACAAATTTATTAGAAGGGGTTCTTTCAACTATGCTCCTGGATGCCCCACTATGGAGGTTTGACCAGTTATGTATTATGCCTGTGTGCTTCCTAAGAAAACGCTTACTTCTTCCATGTCCAAATAACGGTCCCGGATCCCGATGGGCCCCTACTTACTACTACCGAGCAATCTAATAATACAACACAATACAACACACAAAATATTTTCTTTTAATTTTTTCAAAAATGTATGAGCCCCGGACGGCTGCATAACTACCCACCTAAACCTGTCAGTAAATAAAGAATAAAATACATGGTTTTATCCATCATAGTAAACCTATTATTAAATATTATACACAGCATGTTGAAATCGATTAAAATAATGTATACATTAAAGGCCTACTAATAATTCGGATATTCGGATGATAAATGCCTGCAACATTATCAATTGGACCTTAAAGGACGATCGGGTCATTTTATTCAGATTGGCCTTATCATGTTTCAGAGCAACATATTTTTTGGTATTAAATGAACATTTTATTAAAAACAATCAATGAATTTTGTTACTCAAACGTCTTTATATTGATATTTTCAAGCCTATAGTATTAGATGACCTGAAGAAAAAGTGTACCAGAAGTCGTAGGCTTACTGTACAATATAGTATATTATGGCGAAAGTAAATTCTCTGAATTTTAATAGTGTTACTGTAATAGAGCTTATTATTAAATATTGGAATTGTAGCGGCTATTTATAATTTCTTTAAGAGGACGCCCTCAGTTTTGAGTAAAGTTTATTTTGTGAGCGTCACTTGACGTCAGGCAGATGGCGGAGCGATCCGAGGCTTCGATAGGTGCTGTCTCGGTTAATTGATACAAAGTTCGGGTTGAACAACAGTTGGTAAGAGATTTACCGTACAATACTATAACTTATAATTTTAGGCATTACATGATTGCATTAATTTAGTCTAAACTTTATTATTTTATCAGAAAGAGTAATGTTTATTTGACGGTATAGGCTAGGCCTAACCCTACGTTTATGTTATGCATACAGTCAAAGATACTAGAAATAAAAGATAGAGTTCTCCACACAAAAAAAGTGTTCCACCGAAATGCATGGTGGGAATACGAAAAATGGGACACCCCTACAGCTGGATCTAAAAAAACTTGTGCCAAACTTTCGTTACCAAGTCGTCGCGTATTTTATTATCAATTCTCAACAAAGATACTAGATATAAAAACAAACTGGAATAGGCCCAGACAGTGACATCGGTGAATACATAACCTCCTTGGTGGGGGTAGAAATCGTTGCTATTATCCAAATAATACACAAAATAATTAAAGCATAATCATGAATCAGTAAAGAATAAAACAACAATACAGCGCAGAATCGCATGGCCGGACGCACTCTTAGTGAAAAATAACATAATTCAAAAATAGGTGTTTATTTGTTTTAAAATAACCGCAAAATATACTTAAAATGTGCATAAAATAAGAATAAGTGTCATAATGTGTCTCTGAGATCGACTGTAAGACATATATCATAGTATATCCCGTGAAGGTTAATTGGGGGGGGGGGGCCCCCCTTAAATTTTCCAAATGTTTTAAAAATGGAAATTATGCTCGCATTTTTAAATTATGAGTGCCATTTCCGGCCACTTTGAGGATCCGTATTTATAAATGATCTTACCTTAGCCCCAACCATGCTGGGGCTGAGGTGGCATAGGTATGTGAAAGTCCCGCCCTACCCACATTCCCTCTATTTTGAATGCCTAAATCATATATAATTTAGTTCGTTGTTAAAAGCAATTTAGAATACAATGCCAAATATTAGAAAAACGAGCAAATTTAAATTCCCACAAAGCGGTGACCGGATCAAAAAGGGGCCCCCAGTCTCAGAAAGCCACAGGGCCCCGGGCCCATCGTTAGGCCACTGCCGGTGTAGTGCCCAATCACCACCAGAAGGACCTCACTGGAAACAAGTATTCTTCTGACTTTTGTGGGTTATCCTTGGTGTTTACACCAAATATATCCTTCCACCCATAAGGGACAGATATAGAGAAAGAGTTATGTTTAGAAATGGAGGAGACAACAGAATTAAAAAAATGTGTTGTTTTGGAGCAAGCCTACAGTGACGTCATGCTCCCTTCTTTCTTTCGTTCTTTCCTCTCTCTTTCTTCTTTATTTTTGGGGGTTGGGATACTGTAGACCCGTGTCTCCTGGACCCACCCTAAAACGATTGATTGAATGATTGTTTGACAAAGCTAAGAAAATGCATGTGCATGCATAGGCTTAATACAGTGTATTATATATGGTGGAGATGTGTATAAGAGACAGCAGTCAAAGATACTAGAAATACAAGATAGAGTTCTC